TCTTGCCAAGTTGTCCAGGTGGGTCTCGAACCCGCGGGCTCAGGCAATCCACTCACCTCAGCCTCCCAAAGGCATGGGATTACAGTCTGAGTCACTAAGCCCGGCTTGACCACACTTTTTAATGAAATAGTGAAAAATGAATCACTTCATATTAAATAGTATAATGTTGTTATTATAATGAGGAAGTTATGACAAAAAAATAAATTGTATATCTTTTTTTTTGAGTTGGAGTCTCGCTTTTTTACCCAGGCACACTTACGGCCACCCCAGCATTGATCTGCTGGCCTCCGGCAATTCTTCCACCTCAACCATCCAAGTAGCTGAAGCTACAGATGTGTGCCACCACGCCTGATTAATTTTTTATTTTTATTGTAGTGATGAGGTCTTGCCAAGTTGCCTGGGCTGGTCTCGAACTGGCGGCCTCAAGCAATTCACTCACTTTGGCCTCCCAGAGTGCTGGGATTACAGGCTGAGCCACTGAGCCCAGCCAAATTGTATATCTTATATTTTTCTAATATGTGGTAATGTGTGAAACAGTCACCGACATACACTGCAGGTTCATTAATACATATTGTACAATAGGAATTTGTTGGACATCTTTCACCTGGTATTTTTCTATTCGAGCAGACAATGCAGTCTCATTTTCTTCCTCCCACATGAATAATATGTAATTTATTGTCCAGTCTGTTGTTCTAAGAAGATGTGGAAGGATGGACTTGTGATTCCTAAAAACCACTTCTCAACTGATCCATCATATCTCAGTATATAGTTCATCTCTTTATTTGCTTTTTTATGTAATTTGAGTGGAAAACTTCAAATAAAATAGATTTTTGAAAAATTTGTGCTTGAATAAGTTTGTCCTGTATAATCACCAGCAATCTCTTTATGTCCCCTCAGAGGGGACATCTGATGGTTTGCTAGATTTACCATGTCTCTTCTGAGGGACATAAAGCGATTAAAGTGCAAGTGCAAAGGGTTAAAATATTGTAGGCCTTTTTCTACTCAGATGAAAAATGCTTATGCTAATTCATTTGCTGCTCAAAGGAGGATGAGAACACATCTCCAGAGAAGCATTTTCTAATGTCTTAGAAGTGCAGTGTACTTACCAGAATTCTGATCCTTTTTTTTTTTGAGTTGGAGTCTCACTCCTTCGTCTAGGCTGGGGTGCAGTGGCACACATGCTCATGGCCACCCCAGCGTCAACCTTCTGTGCTCCAACGATCCTTCCACCTTAGTCTTCCAAGTAGCCAGAACTACAGATGTGAGCTACCATGCCCGGCTATTTTTTATTTTATTGTAGAGACGAGGGTCTGGAATGCAAGGGCTCAGGCAGTCCACTCGCCTCAGCTTCCCAAAGTTCTGGGATTACAGGCTGAGCCACTGAGCCCAGCCAGAATTCTGATTCTTAAAAGTTGTTTTGAGAATATGGGTGTGTATTTGCATTGAACGACTGAAAAGCAATTCAATAAAATATTAATAGAGATTTCCTTTGATGATGAATAATGAGTGGCTTTACTTTTCTCCTTTACAATTTTTATTGTTTTCTGGTTTTTATATTTATATAATCAGAAACTTTTTAAAGAAGTTCTTTTGAGTACAACAATTCTTATTTATTTTAGATTTTCTTTTTTTTTTTTTCCAAGTTGGAGTGTCACTCTGTCGCCTAGGCTGGAGGGCAGTGGCATACTCACGGCCACCCCAGCATCGACCTGCTGGACTCTGGTGATCCTTCTGCCTCATCCTTCCAAGCAGCTGGAACTACAGACACACGCTACCATGCCTGGATAGTTTTTTATTTATTGTAGAGATGAGGTTTCTCCAAGTTGCCCGGGCTGGTCTCTAACCCGCAGGTTCAGTCAATCCTCTTGCCTCGGCCTCCCAAAGTGCTGGGATTACAGACTGAGCCACTGAGCCTGGCCTATTTTCGATTTTCAACAAATACTTTTGGTGTTTAAATCAGCTTCTATAAAGCAGAAGAATCATTGTCATACTTAGGCTGTTTACCTTGGTTTTGTAGAGAATATATTTTTCTCTCAGGGAAATTTTTTTTTTTTTTGAGTATTGGTCTCACTTTCTCACTCAGGCTGGAGTGCAGTGGCATGATCACCATTTATTCAGCCTGAACTTCCTGGGCTCAGGTGATCCTCCTGCTTCAGCCTCTTGAGTAACTGGAACTATAGGTGTGTGCTACCATGCCTGACTAATTTTAAATTTTTTGTAGCTCTGAGGTCTCACTGTGTTACAGAGGCCAGTCTCAAACTCCTGGGCTCAAGCAGTCCTCCTACTTCAGTCTCCCAAAGTGCTGTGATTACAGGCATGAGCCACTGTGCCCAGCCAGGGAAATGTTTGTAATGCAATAGCTTTACTCTCCAAGGAAGGCCAAGTGAAGTAGTGAAGTTGTTGTCCAAGTATGATGCCTCGTGGTGACCTGAACATCTGATTATATGGAGCAATTTGAACTTTAAGCTTTTTGTCTTAGTTGGGGACCTGGCCTCATAAAAATAAAGTTTACTGATTTGTTATATAACTTAAATTCATTAAACAAAAAGCAGTGTCATTATTTCCTGAACTATGTAAAATACAAATTATTAGAGATTCATCTATAGACAAATTTATTAACTTACCCAGTCATCATATTTGAAACTCCACCTAAATAGTATGTTTGTGAAATCTAATACATAGAAAATAACATACTTACCCTGGAATGAATTTGTTCTATGTTGATTTCTTCCTTTCAGATTTGGAAATAGTGGGATTTATCGACATAGCTGATATTTCAAGTCCCCCAGTTCTGTCCAGACATCTGGTCTTACCTATAGCACTTAACAAAGGTGAGTTTTCTTCCTATTCCAGTAATACACATGAAGCATCTTATCATGTAAAGTTATTTTTGAATGTTAGATAATAGGATAGCCCATTTTGCAGGATTTAGAGGAAAGGAATAGTTACAGAATTGGATTGTAGAAAAGAGAATGTTGCCTAATGTACCAGAAGAGTAATTCTGCTTTACTCGGTGGAAAACATTTTGATGCATATTTACTGTGTGCAGATTTGTGAGTTTACAGTGGAGGTCCTCTTTAGAGAGGTGGAAGCTTAGTCCCTCAACTAGGGCTTGGCCTTTCCTAGTAGGAACATGCCGATAACACCACAGTGGTTATCAGAAGGTTGCTTGATAAATGTGGACATCAAATGCAGCTTCATAAGGGAAGAACCGCACTGCTCTCTATTCTACTAGTGTCCAGCACAACATGTAGCAGATACTCAGTAAATACTATTGAATGAATGAATGAATCCAGTCTCTCGTGAGTCTCATTGTTGCAGAATATACCTCTCTAGAAACTATGAAGTCTTGTCCCCAAATTCAGCATCTCTTTGGGTAATGCTGGTCTATTTTTCAAGGAAGGCATGTGGTGTGGTGGTATAGAGCAGGAGCTCTGGTCCCCTACTGACTGCAGGTTCAAATCTCAGTTCTACCACTTAAAATTCTCTTTTTTTTGTTTGAGACTGACCATCTACTTTATATATACCAACTTGCTCCAAGAAGTGTATGTAATCAATCAAGTTTACACTTCTGTGTTTCGGTCACATTCCCCTCATGCCTGGTTATCTCAGTTGGAGTATTGGATATTGCACAGCCACTCAGTCACATGTTCACAGGCAGAATCCTGACATACACCTACAAATGAATTTATGATCACTGTCTTCATAATGTACTTTATTGTTCTCAGAACAACCAGATTTCCCTTATTGCTAAGGTCATGGGGGACTTCTGCTTGTCAGCAAAGAATGTGAGCAAAAAGAAGCATTTATGTAGGGGAACAGTAGAAAGAAAAACATGGAAAGGCAGAATAGGGCCACATGAAAGAGCTGTTGGATGCCTCACTAAACTGGGCTGATTCTTCCCCTTGAATCAAAAAAGCTTTGGACACAACTGAGCAGACGTGTGTGTTCTGAAGGACATTAATTGTAGGAAGACTCATTTGTCAGCAGAGGACATGGAGCATTCCATGGGAGCTCACAGAACAGTCATTATTTACCATTCCGACCCATAGCACTTACTGCCTAAAGACTATCAGAGCACAGGCTTGCTGACTCTCTACATATGGCTCTTTTTTTATTTTATTTTTTTTTGAGTTGGAGTCTCACTCTGTCACTGAGGCTATAGTGCAATGGCACACTCACGGCCCCTGCAGCCTCAGTCTGCTGGGCTCAGGTGGTCCTTCTACCTCAGCCTTCCAAGCAGTTGGAACTACAGGCACACGCCACCATGCCCGGCTCCTTTTTTTGATTTATTGTAGAGATGAGGTCTCACTAAGTTGCCTAGGCTGTTCTCAAACCCATGGGCTCAGGCATTCCTCTTACCTCGGCCTCCCAAAGTGCTGGGATTATAGGTGTGAGCCACTGTACCCTGCCACATCTGGCTCTTTTTAAAGGGTGCCTGGACCCTCCAGTAGAAAGCGACTGAGCTTCTTAGTGGAACTGTGAAAACAGATTTTTGTGTATGTAGCAGCTTTACTGAGATAACATTCACATACCACTTATTCATCCATTTAAAGTGTGTAATTAAGTGTGTTTTATTGTATTTACAGTGTGGAGCCATCACTACAGTTTTAGAACTTTTCTATCACCCGCTAGCCCTCCATCTTCCCTTGTCCCAGACAATCACTAATATCCTTTCTGTCTCTATAGATTTGCCTATTCTGGATGTTTCATGTAAATAGAATTCATATGATATGTGGAAACTGGTTTCTGTGTGGACATTGGAAAAGTGGAATAAGTTTTTTCTACTTGTTATAATGTTCCCTTGCAACTCTGCACACTTTCCCTTCAAGAGGTTTTTACAACTAATCCCAGTCTGACCTGTTTTTGTTTCCACAGAAGGTGATGAGGTGGGCACTGGCATCACTGATGACAATGAGGATGAAAATTCAGCCAATCAGATTGCAGGAAAAATACCCAATTTTTGTGTCCTGCTCCATGGTAGCCTAAAAGTAGAAGGAATGGTGGCGATTGTTCAATTAGGGTAGGAAACTTGGTTTACATTTGGCTGAATAAAAGGGAAAATCAGTTTACAAAGAGAAGTATTCCACAGACTTTTCTGTCCTAGTTTCTTCCTCTTTATCCTATCCAGGATTCCTGGGTTCCAATTATGGCAATGCTCCTCACTTGCTTAGGATTTTTTTTTTTTTGAGACAGAGTCTTACTCTGTCACCCAGGCTGGAAGGCAGTGCTCATAGCCACCACAACCTCGACCTGCTGGACTCAGGCGATCCTTCTGCCTCAGCCTTCCAAGTAGCTGGAACTACAGGCATGCGCCATCAAGCCTAGCTAATTTTTCTTGGTTTATTGTAGAGATGAGGTCTCGCCAAGTTTCCCAGACTGGTCTTAAACCCCTGAGCTCAGACAATCCTCTCACCAACTCGGCCTCCCAATGTGCTGGAATTATAGGCTTGAGCCGCCGTACCCTGCCACTTGCTTAGGATCTTAGGCAGGATCCTCAGACTCCTTGTCTATAAGATGAGGGAGTAGAACTAAATGAGGACACTGGTGGCACTGAGCGTTTTACTGTGTGCCAGGCATGCCTCCAGGCACTTTACATATATTAATGTACTTTTAATCCCTCCGGCAACACTACATGGGGAGTATAAACATTGTCCCCATTTTACAGGTAAGGAGACTAAGGCTTAGAGAAGTCACGAAACTGGCCCAAGGTCGTACAGCTAGTAAATGAAAGAGCCAGTCTTCTTACCTGTGCATTCTGACCCCAAAGCTTATATCATAACCACTCTGCTGCCTTCTCCCTGTGAGGAGGGCCCTTCTAGCGTGTATATTCTGTTCAGTCTTTTTTTTTTTGAGTTGGAGTCTCACTCTGTTGCCCAGGCTGGAGTGCAGTGGCATGCTTATGGCCACCACAACTTCTACCTGCTGGGCTCAGTAGATCTTCCCGTCTCAGCCTTCCAAGTAGCCGGAACTGCAGTCATGCACTACCATGCCTGGCTAATTTTTGATGTATCATAGAGATGAGGTCTCGCCAAGTTGCCGGGGCTGGTCTCAAACCTGCGAGCTCAGGCGATCCACCCACCTCGGCCTCCTAAAGTGCTGGGATTACAGGCTGAGTCACCGAGCCCAGCCTGTTCAGTCTTTTGAAATCTGCAAAGCTATTTACTTCCCTTTCCATAATACCGAATGTTAAAAAAGAAGAGATAATGATTAGCTCTGGCCACCACCTAGGGTTGACTAGTGCAAAAGATCAAGACTTAGGATAAGGGAGAAGCATGATTCTATTTCTGCTGCAGTTAAAATTGGCTGGTCCTGGACCGGGTGCAATGGCTCAAGCATGTAATCCCAGCAACTTTGGGAGGCCGAGGCAAGAGGATTGCCTGAGCTCAGAGGTTCGAGACCACCCTGGGCAACTTGGTGAGACCTCGTCTCTACAATAAATCAAAAAATAAGCCAGGCCTGGTAGTGCATGCCTGTATTTCCAGCTACTTGGAAGGCTGAGGCAGAAGAATCGCCTGAGCCCAAGCAGGTCGAGGCTGCAGTGGCCATGATTGTACCACTGCCCTCCAACCTGGGTGATAGAATGAGACTCCAACTCAAAAAAATAGAATAGAATAGAACAGAACAGGCTGGTCCAAAAAGGAATGCAGCTCTTCTTATTAGGTATTAGTCCACTGTATTTCTTGGCACCCAAGCCTCTTGAGTATGAGATCATGGGCCCCTTGGAGAAGCTGAGGTTCCTAGTAGCTGGAACTACAGGCTAGCTAGTTTTTTATTTATTGTAGAGACGAGGTCTCACCAAGTTGCCCGGGCTGGTCTCGAACCCACGGGCTCAGGCAATCCACTCACCTCAGCCTCCCAAAGTGCTGGGAATACAGGGTGAGCCACTGAGTCCAGCCTGTTTTTTCTCTTTCAAGACTGCTTTTGATCTCCATATACAAGAGGGGACCCCCAAAAAACAGTTTGTTTATAATAATTGTGTATTTATTCTTGCATGTTTAAACTTTAGTCACTTTCAAAGCACTCTCCATCTGATGCAATACACCTACTGAGACACTTTTTCCATTGCTGAAAACAGTTTTTGAATTCTTTACTTTGGTTGCCTTTTAGTGCTTCTGCCATTTTTTGTTTCATCTCTTCCACATGGGCAAGATGTTTCCCTTTGAGGACTTTTTTTTCCTCGGGGCGTCGCTTGGGATGAGATTGGGTGAAAAGGGAGGGTGGAGCATTGTGGGCAGTTGCTCTCTTAAATCACTCATCATGAAATGGTCAAACACCTTGAAATTGAAAAATTAACTGAAGCCAAGCACAGCTTCTGATAACAATGCTAGCTGGTACACAGATGCCGATGGGCTTCTAGAACATTTACCTAGCTGGGGAAGCCTGTACTACAAGGAGCTCACCCTTCAAAAGATAATTTCATTTTTTGGGGGGAGTTCCCCCTTGTACACATACTTTTACCTAAATTGTCATAGATATCCCAGAAGAATGAAACTATTAGGGGACAGTGCTATGCATTTTCAGATTTAGGATTTGACTTTGGTAAAAGTAGTATGTCTGATTTCAAGCTAGATGTGTTTGATCTGACAGTCCCAGGTGTGATGTTCTTCCGTCTTCCATCTTTGTCTAGTTCTGAATGGCATGGAATGCTCTACTCCCAGGCTGACAGCAAGAAGAAATCAAACCTCATGATGTCTCTCTTTGAGCCTGGCCCAGAACCTCTTCCATGGCTCGGGAAAATGGCACAGTTAGGTCCTATTTCAGGTATAATCCAGACCAGATTCTGCTTTTCTTGACTTTGTTTTCATTCTGCTGTTCTGAATGTCTCTGACAGCAGCCAGAGAGCTGGGGGTGTGCTGTGGTCACTGATGATGCTGGGAGTATGCATGGAGAACCGGGAGAGTGTGATATTTGAACTCCTGCATTTTACAGCATTTGGATGACTTTAAGTAAATACAAGCTCTTTAGCTGCTTAGAGTGAAAGCTAATCTTTATAATTTTTTTTCTTAAAGTATGGTTTTCAACCCAAGTAGTTTCTTTCGTTCCTGGATAATATAATCCCTCTTCCTGAGACTGCCTTACTGGCACCTTCCTGGAACCTCTAGCCTGGACGACAGAGTGAGACTCCAACTCAAAAAAAAAAGAAGCTCCAGCCTTGGGAAAGTGCAGTCATGCACTGTGTAATGACATTTTGGTCAGTGGACTACGTTTATGACAGTGGTCCCATGAGAATAATAATACTATATTTTTACTATACCTTCTCCATGTGTAGATATATTTAGATACACAGATACTTCCCATTGTGTTGCAGCTGCCTACAGTATAACAGGCAGCAGCCTGCTGTATAGGTGTGCAGCCTAGGAGCACTAGGCTACACCACACAGCCTATGTGTATAGTAGGCTAGACCATCTAGATGTGTGTGTCAGTCATGCTATGGTGTTCACACACAATAAAATCACCTAACAATGCATTTCTCAGAACAGATCCTTGTTGTTAGGGGACATGAGACTGTGTGCAGATTAAGGTGAAAGGAGATCCGAGGACCAGACTCCTAGAGGGCACCAGCTACTGGGCCATGGAAGTGGGGGCTAGCAAAGGGAAACAGGAAGGCACTGGTAGATGAGGGAGGAAGATGACATCACAGAAGAGTAGGGAGACTCCAAATGTGCCTGCAGTGTCTCACATAGGTGTGCCAGGCAGCGTCTGGGGAATGTCTTTGGCCACTGAGCCCTGGAGAAGATCTTGTTTGCATGTAGGCCTAGAAGCTAGATCGGGGCTTGGCAGGTTTTTTCAGGAAAGGGCCCATGGCCAGTGGGACACTGCAGGCTGAGTGTCCTCTGCTATGCCGTTCTGCTCTGACGCTGCAGCACAGAAACAGCATAGGCCATCTGCAAACCAGCATTAGTGACTGTTCTGGAAATTCACTTATGGACACTGAAGTCTATATTTGGTATAATTTCAGCTGTCATGAAACATTATTCTTTGACTTTTTTTCCCCTAGCCATTAAGAAATATAAAAACCGGCTGGGCTTGGTGGCTCAGCCTGTAATCCCAGCTCTTTGGGAGGCCAAGGCAAGTAGATTTCCTGAGCCCGTGGGTTCGAGACCCACCTGGGCAACTTGGCAAGACCTCATCTCTACAATCAATCAAAAATTAGCTGGGCATGGTAGCGTGTGCCTGTAGTTCTGGCTACTTGGAAGGCTGAGGCAGAAGGATCACCAGAGCCTGGCAGGTCAATGCTCAGTGCTGGGGTGGCCATGAGTATGCCACTGCACTCCAGCCTGGGTGACAGAGTGAGACTCCAACTCAAAAAAAAAAAAAAAGAAAGAAATATAAAAACCACTCTTAACTGAAAACCAGGCAGCATGTTGTGGTTTGCGAGTCCTTGAGTAAGAACTGAGGGGCTGGGGCTTTAAGGCTTATAAGGAACAGATGTGGTAACTTTGGTTCTAAATAAGACAAAAAACTGAAATTGCTGAATAAAACTGAGAATGTGAAAGGTCTGTCCCCTCAGCAAGAGGATAGTGAGAAAAATTCCACCCATTGTTTCTACCTGGTTCCCCTAGATATAAAGAAATGTTAAAGTTCCCTGTGAACAATTAAAGTCCAAGTCTAGCTGGGCATAGTGGCACATGCCTGTAGTTTCAGCTACTTGGAAGACTGGGACGGAAGGATCACTTGAGCCGAGCAGGTCGAGGCTGCAGCAGCTGTGAGCGTGCCACTGCCCTCCAACCTGGGCGACAGAGTGAGACTCATACTAAAAAAGCAAAAAACAAAGCCCAGGTCATGCACCCTGCAAATTGATACCACCTATTTTGGAGTAAAGACTCCAAAGCCAAACTGCAAAAACTGGTTCTAGGCTAATAAAACCCATGATGCAACCTCAGAAGCTAATAAAATGCACTGACTCTGTAGGAATACCTCTGTAAAATACCCTTACCCTGTCGGAATTCGTCTGCAACCCCAGGCAAAGGACTTCCCCAGAAGAAACATATTCCCACTGAAGATAAATGTGTGGCTTTAAAAAAAAAGCTTTAAAATCGTGTGAGGAAATTGTCCCTTGTGAAGGAAGGCCAGGAAGAGAATTCCCTGAGAGCTTATGTGGAGACTGTGGAAGGACTATCTTGATGACAGAGTTCCAAGAGGACAGAAGAGGGCGCCATGAGCCCAGAGTCACTTGTGCTTGGCAGTGACTGTACAGCAGGGCCTGTGTAGCACAGCTTCAGGTGGGTGGTCAGCCTGGATAGAGTGGAGGAGCTGTGAGAGATGAGGAGGGAGGGGGGACTGGCAGCGGGGAGGAGAACAAAGGGAAGCACCCAAAGGAGAACAAGGGTAGAAGATGCCATCACGTGCAGCCTGTGCATGTGGAAAGCAGCACTCCTTGTTCTTACCCTTCACTTAAACCAAAAGTAAGCTCACTGGCTCACAGGCTACACTTGCCAGTTTAAAATACTGGTTTTATAAATAGAGGTTTTCATAAATAAAGTTTTATTGGAGGCCAGGTGCAATGGTTCATGCCTGTAATCTCAACATTTTGGGAGGCTGAGGCAGGAGGATTGTTTGAGACTAGCCTGGGCAACATAGCAAGACCCATCTCTACAAAAGAAAAAAAAATTAAGTTTATTGGAACCTCATTCATTTATATATTGTAAGTGAATACCTCTTCTCTGCTACAGTGACGGAGTTCAGTGTGATGAAAACCCTGTGACCCATGAAGGTTAAGTATTTGCTGTCTGGCCCTTACAGAAAAAGTTTGCCAACCCTCTGCCTAGACTATTTCACCACAGATGCCTGTTGTGATCTAAGATGGGAGGGTTGCCTCCTTTCTCAGCTGCTTCCAACCAAGCAACAGACTTGTCACACTACTCCATTCAGACTGAACTGCTGTGTCCTCCTGGGGTCTGTTCCACTTTCAGCAGGGATGACAATAGCTGATATCACACTGAACTGAACTTTGTGTTAGGCACAGTGCTGGACACAGTGAAATGTACTGCCTTATTTAACTCTCACGGCAGCCTTCTGAGGTTAGAATTGGCATTATGGTAACAAATAGTTAACAATAAAACCTACCTAGAGGGTTATTGAGAGAATTATTGAGGGAATGAATATAAAGTGCCTGATACACAGTATATGCTGATACTGCTGTTTTCATTATTTTTTTTAAAGCAAAATATGCAAAGTAGCGCTATTGCTTATACCAATTCCTCCTACTCCCAATTCTGTTCTTGGAGACAACCACTTTAACACTTAAGTGTTTCTTTTGATATTTATTTACATTTCTAAATAATACAAGTATTAAGCTGTTTCTTGGGGCTTTTTTCTTCTGTTTTGAAGAGTGATTGTTGAGCTCTCTTACACCATCATCTTCTCAATGTGGTTGTGATGTTCTTTTTGGTCAGATCAGAATCCAATCCTTGTTCGATGATGTCAGTGTTATTTACAGCCAAGCCCTGTGCATTCCACGTTACATTGCCTTTGTTTTGTACCTTTGTGTCCCCTCATCCATGCCCAGTACTTTTTTTTTTCTTTGCTTGTCTCCTATGCACCTCTCACTGATTTCTCCCTCAGCAAAGCACATTCTTCAGGCCTTTTGTTAGTTTTCTTGTCTCGTCTTCCTGCTCTGCTGTGGACTGGCCATTCCAGGTCTGTGGCGTGAGTGTCATCCGAGTCTTCCCCACCCACCTCTCTGTGATCTCCTGTTTCATGACTCCTCCTCAGAAGAGAAGAGAGCACATGGGAAGCACATGTTTTGAAATCTTGTATATTTGGAAACATGTATATCTTTATTTTATCCTTTTCCCTTATGGTGGTTTCACCGAGAATTGAGCTTTACATTGGCAGTCATTCCCTCAGAGTTTTGAAGCTGCTCTGTTGTCCCTTCTGGCTCCAATATTGCTCCTAGGAGTCTGACACCACGATGTCCAGAAACCTTTGTCCTGAGCTGTATCTTGCCTGCAACCCCACGAGTGTCTTCCTTTCACCCTGGTATTCTGTATTTTCGGGGTGATGGACATACTGTAGGTTTCTTCACTCATCTTGCAGGGCACACAGTGGACCCTGTCCACCTGGCGAATCATGCTCTTCAGTCCAGGACACAAGTCATTTCTTTGCTTGTCTCTCTGTATTCTTTGTTCTGCCTTTCTGGAGCATAATATTGGGGGTGTGTGTGTGTAATTTTCTATCATTTCCTACTTGTTTTTCCATTAAAAATTTTTTTTTCTGGCAGGACATAGTGGCTTATCCTGTAATCCCAGCTCTTTGGGAGGCCAACGCGACAAGAATGCCTGAGTCCAGGAGTTTGAGACCAGCCTGGACAATATAGTGAGACCTCATCTGTACAAAAAAATAAATTAGCCAGGTGTGCTGGTGTAGACCTATAGTTTCAGCTACTTGGAAGTCTGAGGCAGGAGGATCGCCTGAGCCCAACAGGTCAAGGTTGCAGTGGTTGTGAGTGTGCTATTACACTCTAGCCTGGGCAGCAGAGTGAGACTCCAACTCAAAAAAAGTAAAAATTTTGTTCTGTCTTCTGTAAGGTATTTTCACATTTACCTTGCAGCTGTTCTATTTCTTATTTCTATGATCATATTTCTTATTTCTGAGTCTCCTGTTCTTTTTTCATTAATATGATACTTCCTGTCTGTTAAGCTAGTTATCACATCCAGGCTCCAATTAAAGACAGTACAGAATAGGCTCTGATTAGATGCTGCAGTGTTTGATACTGATCCTGAGTGCTGTGAGGCACAAGGGTCAGAAGAAATCACTGCCTGCCAGAAAAACTTGGGACAGCTTCATGGAGGGTAGGATCGGGTCAAGACCTGGAAGGTAGATCGACTACTGAGCAGACTGTTGGTTAGGTGGGGGAACAGCAGTGTTGATGGTAGAAGTGTTGGTTGCAGAAGCAGGCCCAGTGGTATCCCTGATGCCTTTTGTAAGTCCAGCCTTTTTGAGCCTGGCATCCTCATCTCTGACCAGATTAATGATGCTTCCTCCTGAACACCTGTCAGTGTCCAACACAGTGGGAACTGAATAAATATTTCTATTTTTTTTTTTTTTGAGTTGGAGTCTCACTCTGTCACCCAGCCTGGAGTGCAGTGACACACTCATGGCCATCATAGCCTCAACTTGCTGGACTCAGGCAATCCTTCCAACTCAGCCTTCCAAGTAGCTGGAACTATAGGCAGACGCCACTATGCCCAGCTAATTTCTTTAATTTGTTGCAGAGATGAGGTCTCACCATGTATCTGAAACTTGTAGGCTCAGGCAATTCTCACCTTGGCCTCCCAAAGTGCTGGGATTATAGGCGTGAGCCACCGTGCCTGGCCTTATATTTCTTATTCTGTATGTTCCTTGAGGCCAAAATGTGTCTTCTAGGCACAATTCCTAGCACAGAGCTTGCCACATAGTGGGGTCTTACTATAGATAATGAATGAATAAGTGAGTGAATACATGAATCATGTATAGATAACGAATGAACAAGTGAGTGAATACCTGAGTGAACTATTTACAGATAGTGAACGAATGAGTAGATATATGAATGAACTATTTACAGATAATGTATTCACTCCCGGCCACCGCAGCCTTGACCTGCTGGGCTCCGGCGATCCTTCTGCCTCAGCCTTCCAAGTAGCTGGAACTACAGGCGCGTGCTACCATGCCCGGCTAATTTTTTTATTTATTGTAGAGATGAGGTCTCACCAAGTTGCCCAGGCGGGTCTTGAACCCACGGGCTCAGGCAATCCACTCACCTCAGCCTCCCAAAGGCATGGGATTACAGGCTGAGCCACCGAGCCCTGCTTATATATGTGTATTTTAAATGTGTATCTTACTATTGTATGTATTTGTTTTGTCCTCTGGCCTTAATTTATAAAGCAGACACATGAGGCCTGTTTCTGTGAAAACGTGGAGCTGTTTCCATGCAGGTGGCCTCTTGACTGCTGGGGCTCCTACATCAGTGCTTTCTGTTGCATAAGGCTGACTACAATGGGTAGATTTTCTTAATTAACACAGTAATGGGATATAAAAGATAGAGTGATTCAAAGAGCATCTAGCCTAATTGGAAATGTAATTGATTGTGTTTTGCCAAATGTTGTTTCAAAAATGTCTTTTTCTTTTCAGATGCTAAAGAAAACCCCTATGGTGAGGATGACAATAAGAGCCCATTCCCCTTGCAGCCCAAAAACAAACGCAGTTATGCCCAGAATGTGACTGTCTGGATCAAACCCAGTGGCCTGCAGGTGACACTGCCATTGACATGGCTTTCCTGGGGACAGGAGGGGCATGTGGGCAGACAGGCAGACATTGGATTTGATTTTGCTTTCCTTTGATACTTAGTAATTAATTTACTTCTAATGTTTGTCATTATTCCAAAAAGGATTTGAGATGCCCTACAGTTAAACACATATATAGCAAAATCATTTTTTTTTTTTTTTGCAAAATTTAAAGCAATAATCATAGAGAAAGAAGACTACTGTGCTGGGAACCCAGGGCTAAATGATAATTGCATTTGAGGAGTTTGGCTCTGATCTTCCTGCTACCAAGGTCAAAAAAGAAACACGTTGGGTTATTCAGTTGTTCTTGTCTGTGAGGTCTTCTAGAGAGGCTCCTTCCTGTGTTGAATTTTAATATAAAGTTTTCACACGTTGAGGCACTAAAGAAATAGTGGGCATTGTCTTCAACAGCAGTTTTGGAAAAGATGTAGAAGCCTTCGTATGGTAATTTCCCTACAGTAGAGCCCAAGCCGTTACATTGTAATTCCACAAAAAGTTTCCTAGGTAGCTAAAATAGCATAGTTAGTTATCAAGGAAATCTGCTTTTAGGCAGGTACTTGGGACATTTCTCCTTCCATTGATGTAAAGTTACTTATACCTGGTTTTGAAAATTACTTCTTCAAATGTTTTTCTCCTTTGAGTAACTTTATTTACATTTGTTCCTCCAGTGAGTCTAGCCTCAGCCTACTGAGAAGAGGTGGTCGGGCCCTTGGACCACAAATGTAGCTTCTGTGGGCTGCAGAGTCTCTTTTTTTTTTTTTGAGTTGTCGCCCAGACTGGAGTGCAGTGGCCACTCCCAGCCATCGCAGCCTCGACCTGCTGGGCTCCGGCAATCCTTCTGCCTCAGCCTTCCAAGTAGCTGGAACTACAGGTGCACGCTACCATGTCCGGCTAATTTTTTATTTATTGTAGATATGAGGTCTTGCCAAGTTGCCCAGGCAGGTCTCGAACCCACGGGCTCAGGCAGTCCACTCATGTCACCCTCCCAAAGCACGGAATTTCTTTGAGCCCCTTACCATGGAGACTGAACCACATCCTTCTACGGCTCAGGGACAGGGCTACTTCTTTGTTGAAAAGTCAGGGTCTTTTCCCTTCCTGCTGTCCTTTGGCCCTAGCATTTCCTTGTCAGGAGGATGATTAGAACCTCTTCCACCACCAGTGTTAGCTGAGTTTTTCTTAAGTTATTTTTTAAATTTTGTTTTGGTCCTGGGTGTATTTTTCTTGTTCTGCTAAACTACACATAACATAAAGTACCTTCATCAGTTTTAAAGTGCATAATTCATTGGCTTTTAGTACACTCACAGTGCTGTGTAGCTGTCACCACTGTCTAGTTCTAGAACATTTTAATCCCTCCAAAAGGTAACCCTGTACCCAGTAAGCCAGTCACTCTGTGTTCCTCTCTTCTCCCAGGCCCAGCAACCACTAATTCACTTTCTGTCTCTATGTATTTACCTATTCCAGATATTTCCTACAAACAGAATCATACAATTGATGGCCTTTTGTGTTTGGCTTCTTTCACTTAGCATACCGTTTTCTTTTTTTTTTTGAGTTGGAATCTCACTCTGTCGCTCAGACTGGAGTGCAGTGGCTGCTCCCAGCCACTGTAGCCTTCCAAGTAGCTGGAACTACAGACGTATGCTACCACGCCCAGCTAATTTTTTGATTTACTGTAGAGATGAGGTCTCGCCAAGTTGCCCAGGCGGATCTCGAACTGCGGGCTCAGGCAATCTGCTCACCTCGGCCTCCCAAAGTGCTGAGATTACAGGCTGAGCCACCAAGTCCGGTGCATACTGTTTTCAGGGTTTATTCATGTTGTAGCATGTATCAGTACTTAATTCCTTTTTATGACTTAATAATATTTATATATATATATACACATATTTTATATGTTTATGTCATATTTTATACAGTTGATGGACATTAAGATTACCTTTTGACTATTGTGAATAATGCTGTTATGAACATTCATGTACAGGTTTTTGTCTGAACACTTATTTTTCATATCCTTGGGTATGTACTCAGCAATGGATTGCTGGGTCATATGGCAATTCTGTTTAACTTACTGAGAAACTGCCACATTTTTTCACAGTGGTCGTACCATTTTACATTCCCACCAGCAATATAAGTGTTCTAGTCTCTCTATCTTCACCAATATGCATTATTTTCCATTTTTTAAATTAAAGCCATAATGGTAGGTATGGAGTGGTGTGGTCTTTGTGGTGCTGATTTGCATTTCTCTAATGACTAGTAGTGCATCTTTTCAGTGGCTTATCAGCCATTTGTATTTCTTCTTTGGAGAAGTGTCTACTCAAGTTCTTTGTCTTTTTTTTTTTTTTTTTTTTTAGTTGGAGTCTCACTCCATCACCCAGGCTGGAGTGCAGTGACACACTCACGGCCACCCCAGCATCAACCTGCTGGACTCTGGCGATCCTTCTGCCTCAGCCTTCCAAGTAACCCGAACTACAGGCGCGTGCTACCACACCCAGCTAACTTTTTTATTTATTATAGAGACAAGGTCTTGCCAAGTTGCCTGGGTTGGTTTCGAAGCCATGGGCTTAGGCAATCCCCTTGCTTCGGCCTCCCAAAGTGCTGGGATTCCTGGCTGAGCCACCAAGCCTGGCCTCTTTGTCTATTTTTTAATTGGATTATCTTTTTGTTCTTCAGTTTTTCTTTTTCTTTTGAATCGGAGCCTCACTCTGTCACCCAGGCTGGAGTACAGTGGTATGCTCATGGCCACCACAGCCTCAACCTGCTGGGCTCAAGCAATCCTTCTGCCTTAGCCTTCCAAGTAGCTGGAACTATAGGGGTGTGCCCCCATGCCCACCTACTTTTTTTATTTATTGTAGAGACAAGGTCTCGCCAAGTTCCCCAGGCTGGTCTCAAACCCCTAGGCTCAGGCAGTCCTCTCGCCTCCGCCTCCCAAAGTGCTAGGATTACAAGCATGAGCCACTGCACCCAACTGTTCTTGAGTTTTTAATGTATCCTGGGTAGTAGGCCCTTAGCAGATATATGATATGTAAATATTTTCTCCCACTCTGTGGGGTGCCTTTTCATACTCTTGATGGTGTCCCTTAATGCACAAAAGTTTTTAGTTTTGATGAAGTCAAATTTGTATATTTTTTGCATTTGTTGCTTGTGCTTTTTGCTGTCATAACTAAGAGATCATTGCCAAAGCCGGTGTCTAAAGGTTTACACCTATGTTGGCTTCTTTTTTTTTTAAAGAGACTAGTTCACACTCTGTCACCCAGGTTGGAGTACAGTGGTGTGATCATAGCTCACTGCAGTCTCCAGCACCCTGCTTAAGCGATCCTCTGCCTCAGCCTCCCAGGCAGCAGGGACTACATGCATGGGCCACCACACTGGGCTAATTTTTATTTTTCATAGAGACTCTACTTTTTTGCTATGTTGCCCACGCTGGTCTCAAACACCTTGACTCAAGCTGTCCTCCCACAGCCTCCTGAGTAGCTGGGACCATAGGTGCACTGTAGGTGCACACTACCTCACCCAGCTCCCCCATGTTTCTTCTAAGTGTTTTATAGTTTTAGCTCTTACATGTAGGTCTCTGATCCATTGTGAGTTATTTTTGTGTATGCTGAGATTCTTTTGCATGTGGATATCAAGTTGTCCCAGCGCCAGTTGTTGAAGAGACTTTTTTCCCCACTGAATAGTCTTGCAGAAAAGCAGCTGGCCATGGATGTAGGGGTTTACTGGGTATATTTTTGTGAGACAGGCTCATTGCTGTCAAGAGATTCCTCTTATTCTCAAGGCTTTTGAAGGAAGGAGTGCTTTGCTAGTATTGAACAGATCACTGATGTTCACTCAGGAAGGGAGTGTTGTCACAACATTGTAGCTATTCTCATTGTCATTCCTTTAATCACTCAGAATCATTATCTTGTGTTCTTTTTGGCACAGAATTCTAATGTTGGATTTTTTTTTAACCCTAAATAGACAGATGTACAGAAGATTTTAAGAAATGCAAGGAAACTACCTGAAAAAACACAGACATTCTATAAGGTAAGACTGTCAGAATTAAAGTGGAAGAGGCTGTGTTCAGGAGGTGTCTAGAATGGGGTGCTCTGAGAGTAAAAACAGGCAGTGGTGTGAGAGTGGGTGGGATTAGAATGCAGGACCTGTGTGTCCAGGATGGGTGATCTCTGATGGTAAAAGCAGGCGGTGTTGTGAAAATGGGTAGGATTAGAATGCATGACCTATGTGTCTAGGAAGGGTGGTCTCTGATGGCAGAAGCAGGCAGCAGTGTGAGTGGGTGGGATTAGAACGTACAACCTGTGCCTCAGTTTTCATCAAGTCACAGTGTAGAAGTGATAGGTCTAAAAGGCCCTAAATCCAAGCAAGAATTGGGAGGATTCAGAGGGCCTTGTTCTGAGCACTTGGAGGGTGTCCTATGTTGGTGCTGCTGTGGATGGCTGAAGGAAGCAACTGAGGGATAGTGGGCTGTGGCCTCCCCACCCTAGTGCAGTACCCAGCCCACCCCAAGAAGCTGGCATGGTTAGAATCGTGAAGTTCCCAAGGCTACTCAGTCCCAGCCAAAGCTACTCAGTCCCAGGCTCTCCCTGCCTGCAGTGCATGTTCACGGAGCTCTACCTGCAGCCATCAGATTATTCAGATGACACAGTGTTCCTTGGCTTCTCCTGAACTTTTCACTTTTTAACAGGTAACAGTAGAGGCAGCCAGAGAGCCCAGCCCTCTTTCCTGGTTTTCTGGTTATTAGGGCAGGAAAGGGCCTCTAGAAATGGATGGCTTCAGACCTGCAGTGGGCAGGGAAGGGCTGTCTGCCTCATCTTGTCAGTGAGGCCTTGGAGACCTGAAGAGGCCACATGGCTTGCCTGAGGCTGAGGGTTGGTAGGCACCTGGTACTTCTCTACTTCTTTCACTCCCCAGCCTTCCTTTGTGGCAGTCTTACCTGCCCAACTCCTCCAAGGCCTCCTCCAAATATGTTTATGTCATTCTTTCCATGGCCCCACCAGAGAAGAGGTTAAGAGCCCTTTGAGATTTGGGGCAAGTCTTTTCCATACCCAATTAGCAGAGGAAAAGCCATACTCCTTATAGTTATGAGTATGCAGAGTTCCTGCCACCATGTTTGGCTTAAGTGCCCACTGATGGTGGTGATGGCAGCTGTCTTCTTTGGCTGGCTTCCGGTCAGTGCCATCTATCCCCATTACTGGCATCTCCATATAAATGCTCGTTCTCCTGTGAAAATACATCCTGAAGTTAGGGTCAGGGATAACTTATTCAGAACTGATGAGGACAAATCTCAGGAACCTTGGTGTCTTTCTGTCCCAATTCAGGAACTGAACCGTCTGCGAAAGGCCGCCCTGGCCTTTGGTTTCCTGGACCTGCTGAAAGGGGTGGCAGACATGCTGGAGAGGGAGTGCACCCTGCTGCCTGACACAGCCCACCCCGATGCAGCATTCCAGCTGACCCACGCGGCCCAGCAGCTCAAGCTGGCCAGCACAGGCACCTCTGAGTATGCCATGTACGACCAGAACATCACGCCTCTGCACACAGACTTCTCTGGTAGCAGCACTGAGAGGATGTGACACTCACTTTCAGAGCCTTCTTTTTTCAGTGGAAAATGATTTTGAGCAAAAACCTTTCCAGTGCGTTCACATTGGCAACAGCCACCCGGGACCCCCAAGGCTGCAACAGAAGCATCTGTGCTGTGCTGAATGACTCTAGTATGCAGAGAGCCTGAAGCATGGTTGGCTGGTTGGGCTCTCACTTCGTGGGGCTCATGATTTTTAAGCCTAAAAGACAGCTACCGCTGCCATTACGGGCACAGCTCCCAAGACACTCGGAGACGAGACAGAACTCCAGCTTTCGCAGGAAACCTGGACAGCCAGGGTCCTCTGGCTTCCAGAAAGCATCTTCTCTCCAGCTTTCTGCCTCAACTCTAAGGACTCTTTCATGCTTCTGTTCTTGGTAGAAGCCACTCTGTAGTCTGGGGCTTGCTAAGCACAAACTCAACACCATGAAATTTCAGAACTTTCCTTAGAACTTGGGTAAAAGCTGGGTGCAGTGGCTCACCTATAATCCCAGCACTTTGGGAGGCAGAGGCCAGAGGATTGCCTGAGCTCAGGGGTTCAGGACCACCCTGGGCAACTTCGTGAGACTTCATCTCTACACACACACACACACACACACACACCCTGGGCAACTTCGCGAGACTTCATCTCTACACACACACACACACACACACACACACTAGCCAGGTCTCACACACACATTAGCCAGGTGTGGTGGCATGTGCCTGTATTTCCATCTACTTTGAAGACTGAGGCGGAAGGATCGCCTGAGCCCAGTAGGTCAGGGCTGCAGTGGCTGTGAGCATGCCACTGCACTCCAGCCTGGGTGACAGAGTGAGACTCCAACTCAAAAGAAAAAAAAAACTTGGGTAAAATGGTGAGACTCTTAGGTGCTTTTGGAATATCTTACAATACAGACTTTTAAAGAGAAACCACATGTGCAAAATGATTCTTATTTCTTAAAGTTTTTTTTAAATGAAAATAAATATTTGATTTTCTAAAAAATGGTTTCACTGTGAAACTAATGGTCCTTAGCCTTTTGGTCTGTCCTCTCAGTTGAATATGATTTCTACTTCCCACATGGCAGAATTCACAAACCCTGAGGCCTCCTGTGATCCACAGTGATTTCCTGTTTGTTTCTGACACTGATCAGGCCTCACGTCCAAGCAAGGTTCTGGCCAACGATTCTGACATCACTGGTTCCTAAGTCAGTTATGGCTCAACTCGTCAGCCAGCTTCAGCCAGCTTCAGGACCGTGGGCCAGTCATGCCCTTGGGCAACTCTTCAAGGTTCTACCTGAATCTTGATGCTTTTCCAGATGCCTCCCCCACACTGCCACACTGCAGCCGTGAGTTTAACATGCTCAATTGCTGCAGGGTATTTTGCCTGAACCACAGACTTTATCACTAACAGCTGGAAAACCATTAGACTAAATGATCCTTAGGCACAGTTATTAGAATTTTGATTGCAAATGTTTTAATAGAAATGCACAATCTCACTTTCTCAGCAATAAAGGGGTTTGTAACATCACAAAGAATACAGAATGCTGCCACAAGGATGCAGCACAACCTATTGCAAAGCTGACTTGCCCAATTACACAGCGGAAAGAACATCAGAAATCAATACAAACAAGAGGCAACAGATGTTACAGACATGCAGTGTATCCTTCAGTGCAATTAATTTTTTAAAAATCAGCCCATCTATGCTAATCAGATGTTTTAGGTCAAACCAAGTTTCCATCTTGGGGTCTGTAAAACAGCATCTGCCCAGAGTCTTCCTTCCCCCAGGAACAATGAAAACAGCAGGACAGGAAGAGTCCTCACACCTAAGCCCCCTTGAGCGCTACTTCTAGCACTTATTTTACCTGGTTTACTTGGAATGTATTAGAGGAAGCTGATGTCTTTACAACAGGTAACTACAGGCCTAGATTTTTGGTTCCCACCTTGGGTTTCTTGCCAGAAGTCCTTGCTGAAGGACTAGCTGGTGGCTCTCCACCAAAGCTCCCGCGATTTTCAGGGTCCTATTGCAGACAGGTAAAAAAGCCAATCTAACAACAGCAGAATAAAACAAGTGTTTTTGAGGCCTATTCAAAAACACACCTTCCTGCCACTTACTCAGCCAAGTCCGCAAGTCTATGAACCAGTGCAGTAGACTGACTTCACATTTGTGCATCCGGCCTGCTCAAGCCTGGCCCACCCTAATGCTTTCAGCTTGTTTTTTTGTCCCAGGCTGAAGCTGTATTACTGCCAGCGTGGCCTCCATGTTTGTGTTCCGTTTTGACCCCTGCTGCCATTTGAATTTAATCTTATTGTTTTCTAAATGTTCCATCTTTCTTTAGTGTTGAGAACAGCTCTGATTTAGTCATGGTGTCCCAAGGTCGACTGGGCTCTCCAAGTCACCCTGTGCCTCTCCACACCCACATGGCCAAACACCACAGCAAAAGATGCTGCTGGGAGCTCACTCTGACTTAAAATGTCTTATCAGTGACTCAGTCTACTTGATTTTCAAAGTCAATGCCAACCCACAAATAAATAACCCCTTGGGAACAGAATAATTAAGTCCTGCCTGAGTTACTTTTGACAGCCTTCTATAGAGCAATATAGTCATGCTTCTTTTCAAAGTAACAGCTGAAAAGGACAAATTCCAACCCTAAGAACTGTCTACACTGTAGGGATAAAGCACTGGAAAGATATCTCTGGCATGTATCATATGGGACATGAAGTAGGGTGGGTGGGCTGAGCCCACTGCTGTCATTAACTGAATGCACTGAGTGTACCTGTCATCAGGTGTCAGAAATCCATGTCATGCAAGTACTACAATAAGGTCACAGTAAATTCAGGAATGTTACTGGGGAGAAGGAAGATCACCTCACTGGGAATTTAATCGTTTAAGTTTAAAAAACTTTTATACTGGTACAAGAAGGTAAAACTGTAAGAATCATAGATTAGGCTCAAACTGGCAAGAATCCATTTGAATCTCCTTTTAGTGGATCTTTTTCTTTTTTTGTCCATAGCGCCGTCTGCGCTGTTTATAAAGATGACGGAAATTTATGTACAACCCTGAAAAAGAAAAGAAGCCAATTAGTAATGAGCATCCTATCTGATCTGTTTATATCCAGGCGCTCCTATGTTGGGCATGACTTGCTGCCTGTTTTTCACACCCCACAGCACGAAGCTTGCTGAGGCCGCTCAGAAATGACTTAACATGATCAATGCTTTACAACTTCATTTCTCCCCATATCTTGTTATACATTTTTCAAACACATAAAAAGATCAAATCACTGTACAGTGAATACCTGGACTTAAATTTATGTTTCTACTACATTTGCTTTATCACATGCCTATTCACCCTCTCTCCATATAATTTCTGAAGTATTTCAACGTAAGCTGCAGACATAAAACACCTCAACCCCAGATGCTTCAGTAAGTAAAGTTAAATATTCATTCTTCTAAGGTAAAATTTATATACAATGTAATGCACAAATCTTAAGCATAGAAACAACCTACTTTTTAGTTCAAGACTACTTGAGAACATGTGTTAAGCAATAGTCTAAAAGGTACAAGACACTTTTCTAGAAGCACAATTCAGTGAATTGGGAAACATGGGTTTCAGAGTTGAAAACAGACTTTGATACCCCTTGATCACTGGTTGGTCTCATAGCTTAGCCTCACCCGACTTCCTCATGTACACAATAGGGTTAAAAAATACTCATTTCATGTATTGTGAGAGAATGTGTGTCTTTAAAAGTGCTGTGACCTATATACAGATGTTAACTGGCTGTTTATACTGCTTTGGAATTGTAAATGTGAATTTAGGGCTTATTTTGTTCTAAAAGATTAAGAAAAGAACAACTACATATCCATTATAGACAAACTAAAGATGAGCATAAAGTCTTAAAGATCAGAGCATACAATATAAACAACATGAAAAGATGCTAGTCAGTGTACATTAATTATTTCTACCTCTCTAACTTGTTCACTAAAACATCATGTCTTTCTCATACTCATTCTTGCTGATCATTTTCTCTATGCCCAGTACATAGGGCCTAATTAAGGTAATAGTGAATTTGTCCCCTAGAAGAGACGAAGTAGTCTTCTAATGAGTGTATTTTTTAAAGTGAAGCTTACTCTCTTCAAGGGCCAAAGCATTTTAACATTTTTGGTTAGAAACTGATGACACCACACCCTTTGGTGAAGTAGAAAAGACATGGAATAAAAAGCTTGGACTACAGGTATGAGCTACCATGCCCAGCTAATTTTTTTTTTTTTTAAGAGACGTTACCCTGGCTGGTCTCAGACTGCTGACCTCAAACAATTCTCCCACCTCAGCCTCCCAAAGTGCTAAGATTACAGGTGTTAGCCACCACATCTGGCCTAGGTTTACCACTTTTTCCCTTCTTTTTTAGTTCTTAGTTTTTAAGGATTGAGGCAGGAATGTAGGATTTTTTTCTTTCTTTTTTTTTTTTTTTTTTTGAGTTGGAGTCTCACTCTGTTGCCCAGACTGGAGTGCAGTGGCCGCTCCCGGCCACCACAGCCTCGACCTGCTGGGCTCCGGCGATCCTTCCGCCTCAGCCTTCCGAGTAGCTGGATTTATTGTAGAGATGATGTCTCGCTAAGTTGGCCAGGGGGGTCTCGAACCCACGAGCTCAGGCAATCCACTCACAAATGGATGGGTAAACGGGTTTCCACACACAGCAGGGGCTTTCCTACAGTAGGGAGGCGGCTCGCAACAACCCTAGGCTGCCTGCAGCCTCCATCACTGTCTCCCTTCCCAGCTGCTGGTTGTATTATCGCCTCTGTAAACTCTGGGGGAGGAATGTGCTACTGAGATTAGTAAAAATAAAATGAGCTTCTTAGTCTATTTTTAATCTTTCTCTATACTACTCTTTTGGAAACAAGAATTCTAATAAGGACTTTTTAAATTTTGAATCATTTAATTCTGCCCTCTATGATGCAACCAGTAAAAGTGTATATTATAGAGCCAATACTTACCTAAAAATAACATTATAAGATAAATCTGAAGAAAAAAGGAAAATCTAACTTTGACTTTCACGGGATACGGCAATGTAAAACTAAACCTTCCTGTTTCATTGAATACTGGAATGGACTGGATCACTGAGACAGCTGAAAGTAGAAACAAGAAATTGTTAGAAGTAGATAAAATAGTCATGTCTGGCACCAGAACCTTCCAGCCACCAGCCCTCATTTCAGTTGTGGATTTGTTGGAAACGCCTCCACCTCCCTTTACACAGAAAGCTCATTCCTCTTCATTTCCCCCTAGTCTTCCCAAGAGAAAAGCCTCCCGGCTGCCAAAAGATAAACGAGGAAGTCACAGAACTAGGCTTCAGTTTCCTTTCTATAAGACGGAGAAAAAATCCCACCTGACTCATTAGATGTTTGTCAGAATAAAAGGAAGTCATCAGCAAGAACCTGCTTTCAAACATTCAAATACTACATGCACAGAAGCACACAGAACGCAACCACTTGACTCTCCACTTTATGAAACAAGCTTCTGCCCTTGAGCAGGCTGGGTCCCAGGAGCATTAAAGAAGGCGCCACTAGAAAGAAACCCTGGAAGTCGATACTCCATCTATCAGATGAGGCTGGGGAGGCTGGCAGGGAAGAAGCAGGGGTGGGTCTCCACCTCCACGCAGCCTGTGGAGCCCAGCTATGAACAGTTCCTGGAGTACCTTCTGCCAGACAGCCCAGGGGGTAGAGGGGAATCCACACAGTGTAGCGCAGCCAGGTGACTACCTTCCAATCCATATCAATGCAGGTAAGCATGTAGAAGGGGTACCTGTTGGAAACAGGGAATCACTTCAGGTTCTGAACACAGACTGCGAACATCATGTAAATAGAATTCTTTCTCAATTAGCCACACATGATGTCTTCAGAACAGAATTATAATCCTGGACTATCTGTCCGCACACTCCCATCATGCTCCTTCCTAAGTCTGCAAAGGATGTAAGCTCCCTGTAATGGCAGACTAAGTTAGGTCTTTTTTTTTTTTTTTTTTGAGTTGGAGTCTCACTCTGTCACCCAGACTGGAGTACAGTGGCCGCTCCCGGCCACCGCAGCCTCGACCTGCTGGCTCCGGCGATCCTTCCGCCTCAGCCTTCCAAGTAGCTGGAACTACAGGCACGCGCTACCACACCTGGCTAATTTTTTTTTTTTTTGAGTTGGAGTCTCATTCTGTCACCCAGACTGGAGTGCAGTGGCCGCTCCCGGCCACCGCAGCCTCAACCTGCTGGTCTCCGGCGATCCTTCCACCTCAGCCTTCCGAGTAGCTGGAACTACAGGCACGCGCTACCACACCCGGCTAATTTTGATTTATTGTAGAGATGAGGTCTCGCCAAGTTGCCCAGGTGGGTCTCGAACCCGCGGGCTCAGGCAATCCACTCACCTCAGCCTCCCAAAGGCGGGGGATTACAGGCTGAGCCACCGAGCCCAGCTTTAAGTTAGGTCTTGTTCGGTACATGCACTAGACACTCAGAAGCTTTCTAGCTTCATTCCTAGTTCTGATCTGTGCTCTCAGTGGGTGGGGATGTCAGACACTTCATCTCTGGATAAATGAAGTGTTATCAAAATTAAAGTATACAGAAGATCACTCTAAAGTCTACAACCAGACACAATCTGTTTTAAAAGAGACCTGTTAACAAATTTGCTTCTTCTCAGACAGTAAAAGTTAAAACCCTGGGACCTATCGTTGTGGCTCTCGTACTGATAACTGGGTTTTCATGCTCGCATGCAAGAGGTGCCTCCCTTATCCTTGTTATGATTAGGCACAGTGCCTGTCCAATGTGGACAAAAAGAGGACTTAGAATCTGTTCTACTTTTATATTAGGAATATTAGAGGGTATGCTGGTGCCATGAGACCCAGACCACTGTTGAGATACAATCTAAAGCTGCTACTGCCTGTTGTCCCTCTCACCTATCAACTTTGTCAAAATACTACTAAGCCTAGAGCTGAGGCACTTACCTGCGAATCCCTGCCCCACCTGATTGAAGAGGGAAGAAATATGGAGCATGTCTGGTCTGGTCAAGAAGAATACATACTTTAACTGGATCAATTTTTTTTTTTAAGTCAGAGTCTCACTGTTTCCCAGGCTGGAGTGCAGTGGCACGATCATGGCTCACCACAGCCTCAACTTACTGGGCTCAGGTGATCCTCCTGCCTCAGCCTCCCAAAGTGCTGGGATTACAGGTGTGAGCCATCACGTCAGGCCCAAATGGATCAATTTTTAAGAAGACAATTCTATGGACAACTGAGAATGGCAAAATTAGATAAGTGGCTAATTCAAACTGCAGTAATCTAGTAGCATAAGATTCATTTCCATCATCCCTTCTAGAAGTTTATTCCTAACTAGCTCTATCCAACTGTGACTATTCCATCAACCTCACATTTCTTCAGGTCTTTTAGGAATTTTTCCACGTGGATGGTCCTCTCTTTCCAAGACAGAAGTCATGGTTAGATGAGTCTTTCACTTCTCAGTTCTCTCCTTCTGTTCCTGGTGTACAGGGTGGTATTATGATCCAACGACTGCTTTAAAAAAAAAACTGCCTCAACTTCACAGAGCACATAGATGCAGATAGAATTCTCCACATATGTAATCTTGGTCCCAAACGAAGTGAGACTCTGGCTAAATAAGACAGCCAATCCCTCAAGAACAGAGCTACTTCAGCAAGGAAGAAGCATTTAGATACCATCCTGGCACTTCTACCCACCTGAAAATCTCAGTCATGCTCCACGTGTAAAACACAAAGAAAACCACAGCTTTGTTTTGCATTTCTTCCATGGTACCAAAGACGATAAACAAAATAAAATTTCTTCCAAGAAGCTATTAGAAAGACCCAAAAGAGATTTTTTAAAAGGTTAACAGAATTTATATAAGTTATATAAATGTGTTACCTGAAACAAAACCTCAGTACATGCAAGGTAAATGGAAAACACTGAGCTGAACTAGTTTAATCCTGCTTCAGTTTTGACAAGTTAAAGTGTCCAAACCATTTTTTGTGATTACATAGGACCAGTATATTACACACACATACACGTCCAAATACAGTTTAAAGAATACTGTCAAATAAACATTTGGGTCTGTATACCTCAAGTTAAGAAATAGAGTACTACATGATGACCATCCCGTGTTAACCGTTCCGTAGTTTTTCTTTATAGGTTACGGCTTATGTGTGCTTCCCAAACTGCACTATTTCATTTTGCCTGTTTTTAAGTTTTTTGAAATCATGCTATATGCATTATTTTGTAACTTGCTTCTTACTCAGGGTTGTGGTCCAGAGATTCATCTACGCTGATGCACAAGGCTCTGGGCCACTAGTGCCATTCTCACTGCTGTAATATAATGTCTATAATATATGGCAAACATTCTACTCTTGACAGACATCTGGGTTTTATTCTGTTCCAGTGGTCTATGTGCCTATCTCTAGCACTATACCACATGATATTAACTACTAAATCCCTACAATGTCTTAGTGGGGTAAGTCCACCAACTTGCATTCTTTTTTTTTTTTTGAGTCAGAGTCTCATTCTGTTGCCCAGGCTAGAGTGCCGTGGCAAGCCAGAACCACAGGCATGCACCACCACATCTGGCTAATTTTTTTTTTATTTTTATTGTAGCAACGAGGTCCAGCAAGTTGTCCAGGCTGGTCTCAAACCACTGGGCTCAGGCAATCCTTTCACCTCTGCCTCCCAAAGTGCTGGGATTATAGGTATAAGCCACCATACCCAACCCCTGAGTTCTTTAGAAAAATATTCCTGGTCCTTCACTTTTTTTTCCAATTTTTTTATTGTGGTAAAATACACAAAACATGAAATGTACATCTTAACCACTTTTTTTTTTTAGATGGAGTCTCACTCTGTCACCCAGGCTAGAGTGCAGTGGCACCCTTACAGCCACCCCAGCATCAAGGATCGCTCCAGCGATCCTTCCGCCTCAGCCTTCCAAGTAGCCAGAACTATAGGCACACACTACCAAGCCTAACTAATTTTTTTTTTTTTTTGTAGAGACAAGGTCTCACCAAGTTGCCTGGGCTGGTCTCAAATTCATGGGCTCAGGCAATCCATTCGCCTTGGCCTCCCAAAGTGCTGGGATTACAGGCTGAACCACCAAGCCTGGCCATCTTAACCATTTTTAAGTGTATAATTCTGTAGTCAAATACATTCATAATGTTAATGCAACCATCACTACCATCCATTTCCATAGCTATTTCCATCTTGTAAAATTGAAACAATGACCCATTAAACGATAATTCTTCCTTTCCCTCAGCCCCTGGTAAACATCATTCTACTTTCTGTCTCTATGACTTTGACTTCTCTAAGTACCTCGTGTGAGGAGAATCACCCAGTATTTGACTTTCTGTGACTGGCTTATGTCACTTGGTATAATATTCTCAAGGTTCATCCAACTCAGCATATGTCAGAATTTCCTTCATTTTTTTAACTGCATAATATTCCACTATAAGTATGTAACTCATTTTTCTTTTCATCTGTCCATGGAAACTAGTTGCTTGCACATTTTAGCTGCTGACAATAATGCTTCTAGCCTGCCTAGCCCTCTGCTTTTTCACAAAATTTTAGAATATTCTTGTCCCATTCCAAAAATTTTTAGACTGTGATTGGACTGTACTTAACCTATAAGTGAACATGAGAACTAACATCACTGTAATACTGAATACTGAGTCTTCCAATTCAATAAAATCATATCTGTATATTCACCTTCTGTGCTCTCTATTCCTTCCTGTATCTTAGTTCACAAATTTTCTTTTTGGTTTTGTCAAATCTATAAAAACTATCTGTTAAATGTTTAAAATGTGATTACTATGTTCTTCATTCATAGAAGTTCTATTTGTCTCCTTTTCAGATCTGCTTATTCTTTGGTTTTTTGTTTCCTCCTCAAATAGCCAAGTGTTCATTAAACATGACTATCTTCTGTTCTACATCTGAAAATACTAATATCTGAATCCTCCCTCCTCAGCCTCCCAAGTAGCAGGCACTGCAGGTGCCACTACCACACCCGGTATACAGTGTTGTTTCTGCTGGTTTTTGCTCACAATGCCTTGCTTCTTTGGTTTTATAATCTTTAACCAGAAGCTGCTTGTTTTCCTTGAAAACATATCTGTGGTAACTCTGAGGCCCAGGCAAGAGTGGTTCTTCCAGAAAAGATCTGTGTTTGCCTCTACCAGAACCTGGGCAGTCAAGGATTACTTTAAATAAATCTTGTACCTTGAAGGTTTTTTTAACACCCAGAAGGTGTGAATTCCTATCAAAAATTCATTTGGGGAACCAGCTCATAATTATGAATTCTTAAAGTAGATCATTTCCCCTCCCTCTGGCAGAACCAACATTTGAGACAGAATTTTTCCTTGCAGACAGCAAGGAGGGAAAGACACAGAGTTCTCTCTCATCCATCTGAGTACAGCTCTCTGCAGTCTCGGATTTACTAAAGAAGGGTCTCTCGTCAGACTCGCCACGTGACCCAGGTACAGGGTGAACCTCTCCTATACCTTGTGGTATTATATTATAGAACTGAAGGTTACGTTCAAGTGGGTTTGAAATCTCATGGCAGGGGCAGAGCCAGTGCTCGGCTCATCTCGCAGTTCTAGCAATCATGTAGCTTCTGGCCTGTTCATTGGCGCCCTTGGTGTTTCTCTCCTATCTTACCCAGCATTTTCATCATGGGAGTTCTCAGGTCACATGACCTGCCATATTTCCTGAAACAGAATCCTATAACTTGTTTTTGTAAGCCAAGGAAATATATTTTTACCTTTCTACTCCATGATTACTTCATAACAGAAGATGTTTCCCTCAAGTCACTGTGCCTTGATACTGAGCCTCTAATGCTTGCATCTTTCCTAAGAGGACAATGAGAAAAGTGCCCATATCCACCCACTATCGTCCTGGTTTTTTCTGGGTTTTTTTTGAGTTGGAGTCTCACTCCGTCGCCCAGACTGGAGTGCAGTGGCACGCTCCCGGCCACCGCAGCCTTGACCTGCTGAGCTCCGGTGATCCTTCTGCCTCAGCCTTCCAAGTAGCTGGAACTACAGGCGCGCGCTACCACACCCGGCTAATTTTTTATTTTATTGTAGAGATG